ATCATTTATTTTCCATCAACAATTATCACAGTAGAACAGTTTCTCAAGCAATTTGTGATGCAGTTTAGAAACAGGAGATGAGCCGCTGGTCTTAAGGCTGATTTAGACTTCTGCGTCAAGAGCAAGTGTATGCTACGGCGCAGCCTACGCGTTGACGCATAGCCCTACGCCGTGGCTGTCGATGACGTGCACCTCTCAAAAAATGTAATTACACGCCGCAACGACGCATAGCGCATGCTCTGTGATTGGTTGGCTTGGTAGCGCTGACGAGTCAGGACGGGACCGAGAGCCACGCGAGCCAGATGAAGCGATTGTTTACAAGTGTGGAGTCCCGTGAAGGAGCTCCAGATGGAAAGTTTTTTTTTTGTGTTTACCTCATAGTTAAAGTTGTTGCATGTCCACCGGTTCCTGCCTCAAAATGTGCAAGTTTGAGCCACTTATACATTCAGGAAGCGTTCCCGTCTCCCCCAACGGCCCGCGCTCACACCATATCGGGCCTCGGCACGCTTACGTCATCGCTGCTGCGCTGTTCAGTGAGAAGCGTTCTCTATGGCAAGCCTTTTTAGCATTTAAATCTTTGTTCTGACTCCATAAATACAGTATATTTAGAGATATCTCTAATTATATTTTGACTAGTTATAATTATAATTCGACTACTCAGAATGACAGTTAGAGATATCTGCAATTACAATTGTACTAGTACGAAATCAGATTGGAGATATTTGCAAATATATTATGACTAGTCATATTCCTCCATTGACTTCCATTGAAAAATATTTGCAGATATCTCTAAATGAGTTTTGATTAGTCACAATTGTAATTAGAGATTTCTCCAAATGAATTTTGACTAGTAACAATTGTAATTAGAGATATCTCTGAGTTTTTACTAGTCTGAATACATTTGGAGATTTGGAGATCTTTAATTCGTCATATTTAGAGATATTTACAAATATATTTGAAGATATCTCTAATTAATTTACTAATAGTCGAATTACAGTTGTAGATATCTTGAATTGGATTTTTGACTAGTCAAAATTCATTTAGAGATATCTGCAAATATTTTTCAATGGAAGTCAATGGAGGAATATGACTAGTCATAATATATTTGCAGATATCTCCAATCTGATTTCGTACTAGTACAATTGTAATTGCAGATATCTCTAATTGTCATTCTGACTAGTCGAATTATAATTATGACTAGTCAAAATATAATTAGAGATATCTCTAAATATATTTATGGATAGTCAGAACAAGGTTTAAATGCTAAAACGGCTTGCCATATGCTCTCACCCAGTAGCACAGTGGAGATTTCTCTAGTTATGTCCTTTCAGTCGTTTGTTTATGCATTGACATGTAGTCAGATATTTCGCCAAACAGATCCACCACTTTTTGCGCTCATAAACAATCATAAAGCTCTCGTGCTGCAGGAATGAGGAGATCTGCTGAAGGCGCGCAGCTGTCGTGCAGTGAGGAGTTTGCGTCTTTAAAAAACTACGGCAGTTTGCATTCACTGAACAGTAAGAATAATTAATAAATCCATATGAACAGCCCCTTAAAAGTCATGTCTCGCTTTCAGTTTCGGGCTTTGGTGTGTTTTGCACTCACACACACAAGCGTACCGCGCCAAAGCCCAAGTGATCCGCGCTCAGGCACACCTCTCCCAACCGGGCCAGGACCGGCCAAGTGAACCGTGCTTGAGCCCGATTCAGCGCACTCACACTTCTCAAACGATCCGAGAAACGGGCCTGGGCACGGTACGGATGGCATAGTGTGAGTAGGCCCTTAATGCGCCACCTGGCTTGAGAAACCCGTTCTCAAAGACTTTAAGATCTAGATTAATTCCAAGATTACACTGAGATTAATCTAGAGTCTAACACTCTAGACAAATCTAGAGATTAATCTGTCCATCTATAAATATAATATAATATAATATAATATAATATAATATAATATAATATAATATAATATAATATAATATAATATAATATAATATATAATATCCTCACCAGTAGGCTTGGGCGGTATTACGGTATTATGGTATACCGCGGGATCTAAAAATAGCAACGGTGTCAGTTTCAATACCGTTATACCGTCATAAAATATTAAATATCCTTTATTTAATGCCTACAAAAACGTATGTGTAGTTGTCATCACGGGACAGTGTGGAGGAGAGAGGGAAAGGAAGGGAGGGGGAGAGGTGACGTGACGAGTCGCGCTTCAAAGTGTCCTGCAGTTTGGCAGTTTCGACTGAACAGAAGGGAGACGTGGTTAATATGAACGAGAGGTCTGCATTAGCACTAAAGATCTTTGCCCGAACCCGGCGAGACCCGAAAAAATCCAAATCCCTGCATTAAAATCCATCCCTGCAAAGGTGAAACAAATGATGACGAAGTAGTAAAAAAAAGCGAATTTTGACGGCGGTCAAGCCAGTCACTAGCTCATAAGGAGCGGTTATTCCAGCCGCAGGTATTTCGCGGTCGCTCATACACTGCGTATTACGGTAGAGCCCTAAACCGCAAGCTGACAGGTAAAAAGAAGAGGCCATTCGCTAAAGTGAAACTGCTGTCAGGGAAAATTTAATGCATGTTCCTGACTGGTAGAAGATGAACATACAATCCTACCCAAAACTTGCAAAATCAGCCAGATCAGAACTCTGCATCTCGACCTGGACCGCAGGAAAGGGTGTTCAGCTGCTGGACGCACCATGAGTGAGAGACTGCGCTAAAGGCAGTGGATTTAATAATGTTCCTCCACAAACACACGTAGCCTAATCTTGGCGTGTAAAGGGTTTTTAAATTATAAATAAATATTAATTAAACCATATAATCATAATGTAGACAGAGTATACAGGCTAATGGTGGCATTATTCTTTTATTATTCAGCTCCACCGCCGCCTTAATGCCAGATTGTGAAGAGAAGTGGAGAAACACATCTTGCAGAGCCTTTATCTTAATTTCGTTATTGCCAAAATACCCGTCACCATTTAGAGTTTATTTTAATTTGATTTGTTAAGCAAGATTTCTTTTCATTGGTGTGTAGGCTAATTTAAAGGCTAAGTGCATGTACCTAGACCTATAGAGTGCTGAGATGTTACGATGTTACAGCTGTAGAACTTATTTTATTTCTGTTCCAACTTTCAAGTGGCCTATAGTCTACGCTTGTTACGAATAAATGATGTTAAAACATATAAATGACTCATTCTTGAAAAAAATGCATTAGAGCTGTGTGCATAAGCACATTTTAATGTCGGGCTGTAAAAGGGTTCGGGCTTTATAAAGCTGTCAATCAAAATGTGCCTGTCGGACTCGGGACCTATCGGGTATAATTTTTATGGCCCGATTACAGCTCTGCATTCCCGCTGCTGTTCCGCGGGAGCCGGCCAGATTTCTTACGGTGTGGGAGTAAATTTCTGAATGAATCGCGGGAGAGATGTGTGTGTGTGTGTGTATGTGTAAAAGAGAGAGAGAGAGAGAGAGATGATGTGCGTCTCTTGGCGCTCTCTCTCTCTCTCTCTCTCTCTCTCTGACCGCGAGCCTAAGGTCGCATAGAAGGTATTCAGTTTCTGAATGGTTTAGGCTTAAGCCAACAGTTTGGTGACGGTGTCTGAGCCTTACGTCATAATTTTTTTTTTATTACGCCGGTAATACCGGATACCGGGGTAAAATATGGAGGTTTGACGGTATCAAAAGTTTGTTTTCAATGGGCTATTAGTCAGCAAAACACAGAACAAAATCAGACACAGAACAAAACAAATCCAAAGCACAAAACAAAACCACAGAAAAAACAAAAACAGAACAAAACAAATCAAAGCCACAAAACAGAGAACAAATCAAAACCACAAAACAAAAACACAAAACAAAACAATTGCTCCAAATACACTGTCCATTATCAACTCACCAATCCAAGCAGGCAGCGGATCTCATAAATGGCACCAATGCAACCCAGGAATCCCATGAGCATAGACAGAGATCCAATCCCAATTAAGATGTAGGCTCCAACTTTCAGCGATGTAGAAGACTCTTCTGCATAAACAACATAAAAAGACAAAACGCCACACAGTTAAAAACGGAGGGTTCCACACAATTTACTTCATGTTGTTCCAACATAATTAAGTTAACTTGATTGTTTTTACAAATTTAAGTTGATTAATTATTACAATTAGGTTGTCCCAAAAAAAAAAAAAAAAAAAAAAAAAAAAAAAAAAAAAAAAAAAAAAAAAATCACAAGAATGTATATATTTTGACTGCAGTCACATTTTCTGATACTGGCAAAAAAAATAAAATAAATAATAATAATACAATTCACAAACAAACAAGTCATATACTATATGAAAATGAATTAAATTTCACTTCTCATAAATAATATCCTTTTGGTGATTAACTATTAAAATTCCAATAGCAAGGAAAAGAATAAGCCGAAGTTCAGACAGGGTTATCTCAGATGTGGTTGTTGCTGCTCAGAGCAGCTTAAATTAAAAAACTGAGGTTTAGAAGCTGGTGGTGCGGAGGGTGGAGAAACTGCATATATGACAATTTTTCAGCACTTGTTTATTTGCTTTAGGCTCTACATGTATGTGCAGTAAGCAAAACAATCCCTGTCGTTCACTTCCTCTTGTCCACATTTCCAATAGAAGACACAGATGTTATTGTGACCAAGAAGCATTTATATTATTATATTATTAAAATTGTGAGATTAAACCGAGGTCAAATCAAGCACTGTTGTGACAAAGGGGGCTTTTTTCAGGTAGGGGCTTTTCACACTTAGTAGGTAGGAATTAACCATACGGGCTCTCCCACCTAGAACTACATTTTCCCCTATGAAGTGACATAACATCACCAACATCATTCAAGCATTCACATGGGGGATAGAGGTGCCGTGATCAGACTTGTGTTTTGTAGTGTGTTGTGGGTTTTGTGATAATGAAGGAATGTAGATATACAAGTTCTGTGACTGAAAGAGTAAAAAGGAGGGCTGAGAGACAGAATCTCATACAACAAGATCTATATGTACTGTTTCATTAAGGCTGACAAAAGAACATAACTGCAGACCAAGTAGGTAGTTATAGGAACTCAGGTACACCCACTAGAACCCCCGAAAACTAAATTATCCTCTAAAACATTTTTCATGGTTGTTTAGAGGCTTTCACACAAGAACGGTTCAGAAGGTCACTGGTTCGCGCCTTGGCTGGGTCAGTTGATATTTCTACGTGGAGTTTTTGTTCTAGCTGTGTTTACGTGGATTTTCTCTGGGTGCAATGGTTTCCCCCACATGTCTAAAGACGTGATATAAATTGATTGTAGTGTATGTGCATTCAATGAGAGTGTATGGATGTTTCCCAGTGATGGGTTACAGCTTAAAAAAAAAGCATCCGCTGCGTAAAACATATGCTGGATTAGTTGGTGGTTCATTCTGCTGTGGATACCCCAGATTAATTAATGGACTAAGCCAAAAAGAAAATGAATGAATATATACTTTCACCCACATATACACGTGTTTCTTTTAATAATAGACACATATGCAAGCACGCACGCACGCACACACACACACACACACACACACACACACACACACACACACACACACACACACACACACACACACACACACACACACACACACACACACAGCACACAAACTCACAGTGCATTGTAGATATTTTTAATTACAGACATGAAACTAGCAGTCAAGAAACAGAAAGTAAACTCAGAAATGCATGTTGACAGAAACTAGTCGAGCTGCTTGTAGTTAAGGATTATTAAAAAAAAAAAAGATAAACGGAGTTAAAGTGGGTTGTGGTTCTGAATAATCAATAACATTTGTATTAGATTTAACTAAATCAATAATCAAACCAACTGAATCTATAGCCAGCATCGTTTGTTTGTATACTTTTTTCGTTCCTCTTTTTCTTGGTTAAATTATAAGCATATTTATTAAGACCTTGTGTATTAATTACACCTCCTGGTGTTACATTATCAGAACACTAACACTATGAGGTTATGTTAGGTAAAATGTCATAACGTGACGGATAACCATTTTGTTTTATAAACGGAGTAAAATAAATGGTCCGCAGATTGCCTCTCAACTCAAGCACGAATTCTGAGTCACATTTCTAAGCATATGCTTCCTGTCTAGTGAATAACATCTGTCTGAGGTAAATCTGAAGTTTCCACGACCTCAGCTCAAGTGTTTGCTCTTAGTTGCTGTGATGTTCTTAAGGTAATATGGCAAACATCCATCTACTGTACATCTGCAAAAATTCAGTCCTAACAGCCCCGGCAGTGGTTTCCACTGGAAATAATACTGGAAGGGATACAATTTAATACAATCAGCCAAAACCATTTGTTTTCAATGAAAGTCGGACTCAAAGTGATAACCATAATTCTTTTTTTCACAGTGTCTCAACAGAAATTCTGTGTATATTTATTACAGCTTATACAGGGCAGAGGCACTAGTCATGTCCTGCGAGAGACAAATGATGGCCTGTGAGAGACTAGTAATGTCTGTAAGAGACTAGTGATGCTCTGTGAGAGACTTGTGATGTCTGTAGGAGACTATTGAAGTCTGTAAGAGACTGTAGTGATGTCCCGTGAGAGACTATTGATGTCATGTGAGAGACTAATGAAATGTGCTGTGTTCACACCAGACGCATAACGCTTAAATAGATTTTCATTCGTGCATCAAATTCACTTCACAATAGACAAGGATTCACATTATGGGCAGGGCTTCCTTCTGCCTGGTGACTCTTGCTTGTTGCTAAATGGCTAACATGGATGTTATTGTTATAATAGCTGTGCTTTAGAAAGGCTGAAAAACAATGCATATTCAATCAGCACCTTGTTTTTCAGAGTCCAATAGATCCTTTCAGTGGTGGACCCAGCTCTGTGAGATCATCAACTCCTTCAGAAAGTATATCTGTATGATGGACGTCGCATCATTTCTGCTGCCTCATTCACACAATGTGTGCTACAGGATGTCTATTTGCATCTTTGCATTGACTTAACATGCAATTAACTCACGCTTGACGATTCATCCACATCTGGTATGAATGTAGCATGAGAGACTAGTGATGTCCTATGAAAGATTACTGATATCCTCTGATAGATCAGCAATGTCCTGCTAGTGAGACTACTGGTGTCTGTAAGAGACTAGCAGGGGTTTGGATTTGCTCTTGACATAATGGACAAGCATCCATATAGCATATGCATAAAACAGCACAAATTCTCTTTCGTCCTTTTAAAAAATATATTAAAGCTTTAAACGCTTATTAATACGAATAACAATTAATGAATCTTGTCCCATGCTACAAAAGTCAATTCACATGATTTTACTGCAATCTGGCTTTGAAGAGGTACGAATGTGTGATGCAATTTAACCATTTTATCCCGATTATTATTTTTAATAATCATGAAAACTGCACAGCCTTGGTTAATATTATTATGGTGAGCTCCAAGTGAACTTGATTTTAGAAACTTGATTTTAGAAACTTTTGATTTTAGAAACTTGACGGCCTGACGGTCAATCTGGCCAGTCACCACAAGTTTGGCCTGCTGCGCCCCCATTAACCCCCCACCCTTCACTTTCTAGATGCATCGATGTGGCCTGGCAGCATGACTCTATCTTGCTGCGCACAACAACCCCAACGTCAGTCCAGTAATTGCTGAATATTGGTGGGGACACTATTCCTTCCATCCATGCCAAATGTAGAACCTTGGAAACTAGTAGTGATGCCTGTGAGAGACTAGAGATGTCCTGTGAGAGACTACTGATGTTTTCTGATAAACTAATGCGAGAGACTAGTGAAATCTACAAGTGACTAGTGATGATGTCTTGTCAGAGACCAGTTATGTCCTGCCAGAGACAACTAGTGATGTCTATGAGATCCTGTGAGAGACAGATTCCCTCAAAGTAAAAACCCAATGATGTTTTTAAATGTGGTAACCTTAAAACAAGCCAAACCGTTGACTTCAGGCTGTTGCAGCTCTTCAACGGTTTTCCTTAAAAACGCCTTAATACACAAATTAATGCTTAACATTTATATATTTAGCCCAAAAAGGATTCAGCTTCATAATTTCAGCCCAAGCCATTTGCTTGCAACCTTCCAAGCACAATTTATATGCTATAAAATGCAAACAAAACAAAACGACTCTCTCATTTTTTCATCAAAATGAAGCAGCAACTACAGTAAAACTGCACATAGAAAAACACACCAGCCTCTGAGGTCCCAAAGAACCAAACACCATCTCAACCTTAACATGTTGAGTATTCAGCTATACTCTCACCGCATAGCTCCACTGCACAAACAAATGCATCGTTTTAAAAGGAAACAAAACCTTTAGGCAAAGAATAGGAATGAGATCACAACAATGTAGATAATGAAACAATTCCCAAGACTCCCTTTTATAGCCATTCAGTTGCGTGGAAGTCTATTAAAAAACACAACCAGGGAGGAAGGGAAGAAAAAAAATACAAGCGAGATCAGAGAACACGCCTTCCCGTCATTTTCATGCTCAACGGGGCCCTAAACCACAGACTCACAAAATCAACAAACAAACTCCTTGTGCAACACAGTGTGAAAGGAGGACCATTACAGTAAAGGAGTCAAACTGGATCTTCTGTCAGCAAATAGCAGGGTCAGAGTTTACAGTCCCCAACTACGAGGATATCCTAAGATATTCCCTGCTATCTCCAGAGGAAAATTAGAACCAGAAACACAATATGTTTCCAAAAATGGTAACAATAGCATAGTCTCTAGTGTTGCAATAACTGGAGATGCTGAAATAGACAAACAAGGGACAGATGTAAAATATGAGTTGAGGTGAGATGAGAGAGGAAAGTATGATGAGATGACCAGCTTGCCAAACAATTTTTGAAGCCTTTCAGCTTCACATAAATATTCCCCTTTAGTAATTTGTTTAACCGAGCCTGAGCTATATATAGACTTCTCTAAACATCTACGATCTTGACTGAGGGAATTGGTTTTGTGGCTTGGTCGAATGAAAATATTGAAGTTAAATGTTTACTTTTAAATACTGGATTTCATTCAATTCAGACGTGTGTGAAAAAGACTTTTAAACAAAAATAATACTAGTTCACCTAATGACACATCAGTGATCATCTAATCACATTCATGTTTTTCTAAATCATTATTATTTGAGCCAAAAAAAAGATCTTTAGAAAACTGTTATATAACCATAACCTCTGAATTTCCATGTTTGGAAAAATTATTTAAGCAATTTTGTGTAAGTAAATGCAGAATAAGTGTCATTTTGTAGGTGAATTTTCGCTTTAAAAAGAAGCAAAGTTTGTTAAAATGATTAATCTGTTTAAATGCATTAATAATGGATGTGATGCTAGTTTTCCATCTTTATTTCTGTTCCACTCTTTTTTAGAGTCTTCTTGGCTTTGGCAGGCCAGACTGTATGAATTTCTGTAAATCACCATTGGCGTTTGTATCTCGTGTATTTAATTTCTCTCTTCCCTTATTTTGCAACTTTCACTCTCTGTTTAAATCTTCTCTGAAGATAGAGATAGTTTACTTTACATCTGTGTGTGTGTGTGTGTGTGTGTGTGTGTGTGTGTGTGTGTGTGTGTGTGTATATATATAAACACAAAAAAGTCCAGCGTAGGTGGGGGTTTGTGGAAAACTTGGTTAATAGACAAAAAAGAAAACTCCACAAGCCAAGGGTATGAACAGCAGCTGTTTTACTGTACATTCCCATATGTCAAATAAACACCAGTTTAAACTCAAGAGTAAAGACAGAAAAATTAGTATCCAGCAACATACTGATCTGTTAAAGAAAATTAATTTGAAGATAAAAAAAAAAAATCTCTCTGGAATAGCCTTCCTGATAATGTCCATGGCTCAGACACACTCTCCCAATTCAAAACTAGATTAAAGACCTATGTTTTCAGTAAAGCATACACTCAGTGTTTCATCCACACAGGGTTTTGCATCTTGTTTATATACACTGAACTGCAGCTACGCTAATTATTCTCTTTATTCTCTATTTGCACCTGGGGAGAATCACCCCGAGGCCCTCACACTATGCAGTGCCACTGGTTCAATCCAAGACTAGCGAAAAGATGATCCCAAGGTTTCCATATCCTGGACCAGGCCGTATCCTGAGCAGCTACTGTGGTGTTCATGGAGGAGTGGAGCGCATTAGACTGATTGCTGTGATGCTCCAGGGACAGACGAGTCTTCGCTGAGGTCCAGCTTCCAGCCTCCAGCACCTAGACTGCAGCTCTGCACAAGACTTTGGCCAGTGGAGAAATGGTCGTGCCCAACTGAGCCTGGTTTCTCTCAAAGTTTTTTAATTCTTCACTTTTGCCAATTGATTGAAGTTTTTTCCTTGCCGCTGTCGCCACTGGCTTGCATGGTTCAGGATTTGCACGCACACACACACACACACACACACACACACACACACACACACACACACACACACACACACACACACACACACACACACACACACACACACACACACACACACACACACACACACAGACACAGACACAGACACAGACACAGACACACACACACACAGACACACACACACACAGACACACAGACACACACACAGACAGACAGACACACACACAGACAGACAGACACACAGACACACACACAGACAGACAGACAGACACATTTTGTACTCTGACCTGATAAAATCAATTTTATGATGGAAAAAAATATATGATTAAAACTAATAATAATAGTAATCAGGGCTTGACATTAACTTTTTTGATCACCAGCCACTGTGGGTAGTACATTTCCAGGATGATCTAGCGCACACAATTAATGTTAGGCCTGTTAATAATCCGTTTTAATCGTTTTTTAAACAAAAGCAGTAACTGCTGCTTCTTACAAAAGAATATATATATTTTTTTTCCAATCTGGAGCTCTTGACAGCAGCAGGACTGTGGGTGCACGACCATCGCTTTTTGTGCAGTCCATTTCAAAGAGAACAGATCGCACCAGTTGCATTTCCTCTACACATGGTTGCTTCGTGCAATTAAACGGGAGTGCGCATGCTTTTTAACAGTTGATGTGATGCGAAATCATCCTCTCATTCAGTAATTACCTGCTTTCTTTTGCTCGTGCGTACACAGTTAGTGCTGCTTCTCGATTCTAAGGTCACATTTGCTTGCAAAACGGGCCATCCTTATTATTGAACACTGCTTTTAAGAAAACTACAATCAAAAAATATTTTCAACCAGCCAAAGTGGCTAGTGAGAGCTGCTGCCTTACCTGCAAGAGCTGAAATCTACCTGCATTTGGCTGGTGTTAATGTCAAGCCCTGATGATACTACCTACTACTACTACTACTACTACTACTACTAATAATAATAATAATAATAATAGTGTATAACATATGCTGGATAAGTTGGCGATTCATTCCACTGTGGCGACTCCTGATGAATAAAGGGACTAAGCCGAAGGAAAAATAAGTGGTGCATGAATAATAATAATAATAATAATAATACATCTTGACCTTAAACTGTCTTAACATGTATGTATTAACATAATTGGCATCCCTAAATTTACTATTAAAACTTCTGATAACAAATTCCAGTTTGAACTATTGCATGTAAAAAGAACTACAGAAAACCTAAAACACTAGTCTCTCAGAAAACATCTGTGCTTTCATCAAAAAACACTCAGCTTCTAATATCTGACCAATAGCTGCTTGGATGTAGATGCAGCTTGTTTCACTGAAACAAACTTTCAGGACATTATTACATGCATCGGGACAGGAAATTACATTAGAGCATTGGTACTTACGCAAAACCGTGAGGAAACTCTGACTATCCAGCCTGACCCACAGTCCAAAGCCCATGATTACAGCTCCAAGAATCTATAGGACAAAATAACGAGACATGAAGACATGAATTTTTGGTCATCGAAAATTATCGGCTGAAAATTTAGCAGGTCCTGTTGAGTCACCACTCATACTTGTTACATAATTATTTGATTTTATTTATCGGATTTCTATTAACCAGCAAAGCATAAACAAAACATCATCCCTTCCGTTGTACACAGTGCATGAATTCCCTCATCACTCATTTAATTGGACTGTATTTGTGGACTAATAATGATTGAGGGTACAAGTGAGAAATTTTGGACACAGCCTAATGGGGCGTAAACATCAGATGTTGCTTTGCGTGAATAGATTGTGCTACTAGAGCAAGCTCCTGAATGGTTAACGCAGCCATGGAGAAACAATGAAAGTTTTGAAGTTCTCAATGGTTTGACGATGTTTGTTACAAAAATGGTAAAGGATGTGCCTGGGGTGACTGAGACACTCATTCCTGGCATCCTAGTAGATGGACAATTACATTAATTTTATTTCATTTTCTAAACCTAAACCACTACTCTGCTACCTGCCTGAAATTTTGACTATGTCCAATAAACCAAAATATTGACTTAGATTTTTTTCCAGGTCATCCATGTAAAGCAGATTTGATACAATATATTGTATGAAGCATTATATAAATAAATGTGACTAGACTTGACTTAGCACCAATTATAGTCCCTTCACACAAACATTAGCTAAAGTAAATAGCAAAGTGAGTTACTGTATATGTGAATCAAACACTGTTGATCCTGGATGTTGTCATCTGCAACAAACGTAGCATGGCTTGCTGTAACTTGACTGGTTGCACTCTATGGAGGGCCAAAGAGCTCTCGGGTTTAATCTAAAATAGCTTAATTTATATCTAAAGATAAATGAAGGTCTCAGGGGACTAGAATAGTATGAGGATGAGTAATTGATCAAATAATTTTCCTTTTACTGTGAACAAAACCCTTAAAACTCCACTTTGACAAGAGGTGGTCCTTCTGTGTCCAGAATGCATCAAAAACCTCTTAGAATGATTTTCACAAGGGGTGTAATGATATTCCAACCAAAAAAAAATGTACGCCCACATTGTATGAACCGCAATATTTTCATAACATGCTAAGATACCCCCCTCGCATTCCCCGCACCCACCTCCTACCCCATTAAGACTGCTCACTGAGTCACTGAGCCACTGAACCCCTATCTAGCACCTTTCACAGGACATGAAAACAAAACAGAGAGCTAGTCTTTATTCACAGAAATGAAACAAAACAGAAATGAAAACAAAACAACTTTGTTTTATAAAATCAGTAAATAAAACGGTTTTGCTGCGTTTGCAAAAGTCTGTTTTAGAGTGAACCATGTAGAGTATAAACGCAGCAAAAGTTCTAAATTTTAAAATAAAAAGCAGTGTAAACACAAACTCAATGTGACGCTGGTGAGTCTGTGAGAGCAAATGAGAAGCACGGTAACGCTAGTGGCCCAACAATATGAGAATGCTAGTCAAAACTAAAGACTTCTTGTATACTAAACAGAGCAGCAAGAAAGCGGAGGATGTGTTTGATGAGAAACTATAACAAACAACTAACTTGTCACTGACAGGCGGCATCTCCTCAGCCCTAGTGACCCTAGTTGTAATTCTCCTTAGCAAAAAAAAAAAAAAAAAAATTCTCTCTGAGCATGCACAAATTCATCTTTGCTGCTGTCAAATACAGTCATGAATGAGTAGAAATGACAGCATTCACATTAACACCTACAATTACAGTTTGACCATTAACCTAATCGCACAGAGGCATTGGTGTATTGTTACACCCCAAGTTTTCACTTTTTTTGGCAACAGTAACTAAGGGCAGGGGTTACCCCCCAGGTGCTTCTGAAGACAGAGAGAAGCTCCACAGACTAAATTCTAATGCATTCTGGCCCTAAAGTTCAAAACTAATGGGTCCAATGTGTCCTCTAAATGAACTGGATCAGAAAAGTTTAATTTCCTCAGTTTTCTTGTATCAGTCTGGCGTCTGTGGTTTGCTCAACTGAAGGCTGTTCTCTACACTACTCTGGAGGAAGTAGTAAAACACTAGGCCACTGTACAATTAAAGGGTCTTCAAAAGGGTAAATCAGACAGAGACACACAGTTTTCATTAGCCTTTGACCCTTCATATTAAAAGGCACAACATGTCAAACCAAGGTTGTTTAAATGGGTCTTGCTTCCTCACCAGGTTTAAACAATTTCCTTACAAAGTGCCTTAAAAACAATTTCCAAAATTTCACCAGTACTGGTTGTTTTTGTTTTTGCCTAACTTAAATGTACAAATACAAGTAAATGCTTACTGATGTAATTTTCATTGACAATATTTAGATATTTTAGATCATTTATATGTTAAATATCTTATATTATTTAGTTGTTAGACATTTTTAAAAGAGTTATAAAATATGAAATACTGTCAGACAATACAAAATAGCAGTTAAAAAAGAAACCTCTGAAAGGTACATTTATTATATGACTAAACTTATTTTTCTTACTCTCAAATCTAAAAACTCTATCTTCAAATCTCTCATTAAACTTTATTATTCAATAAACCTGTATTCCAAAGATTTTTATGAAGAAAAAATATATTATACAAATATTAATCAACCTCAAAAGTTACTAAACCAATTTTATATTTTCCCATACATGGAGAAAACCACACACACACAACTCTAAGTAATTTTTTTTTTAACAATGCGGTTTATGCATACTTGACAACTGACAAGAACTGAACAAATATATGAATATTAGCACAGTGTATTTACTTGTTCATATGCCTTAAAGTTAAAAAAGTAGCAAAATACTGTACATACTTGTTTGCTAGAACAAATGGTTAAAAATGCTCACAAACACACACATCTATAATAATTTTATTTTCTTTTTTTTTTCTCAAAAGGCTTCACTTTACCTCATGACATCTCTTAATAGTAACCTCTCTTTCAGCCTAGATTAGTTCACAGTAGACCTAAAGGCTATGGCTAATGACAGGGAGCCACATGGCTAATGAGCAGAGTCCCTGCTGAGACACTCAATAAAGGTGTAGGAGTGTTTGCACTTACAAAGAAGAGGAGGTTGAACAAGAACAGGAAGTATTTGGTGGCGGCGATGCATCCTTTCCCCATGATTGCAGCTCTGTAAAAGAGAGGAAACAAACATCAAAAGTCTGAGAGACATGAAAATCAGTGCTGAGGCAGAAAGTGAGCAGTTTACTTTGTGAATTTATTCACTTTGTTAAAAAATATTTAGCAGATGATGTCCATTCCCTTGCTGATATAAAAGTGGAAATGCTTGTAAACATAGCTGTAGCTTTCAGTCTGAAGGTACTCTGGTCTGTTTGACATGTTTCAGTTCCATGAATGATAATGTCACTTTAAATAATGACGTCATACAGTTAATCTTTCTGATTACAGAGTTTAATTATACTACATTATTAAAACAAGACACATATTTGGTTACTGTTGGTGAAGTAAAGGTAATTAGAGCTCAGGCTCATTGGAAATACATGCCTCAACCTACTTTATTGCAAAACCTAAAATATGTTACTCCAGATTCGTTTTGTGGTACATTTCAGATGATAACTCCCCTAAACGGTGTGGTCTACATTTTTTGCTAATGTATTGAAAACCCTTTGTGCATATCTTGTTGCACATTTCAGATATATGTTCAGCCTTTTCTACGATTCAGCCAACTATACTCTCAGGGTCAGGAGAGAAGCAAGACAGTTGCATAAGTCTTCACAGCAACATTGACTGACAACTTCAAATGGCGTTAAAAATGTCACATACTGTATTTATTACAGCTGTGAACCTACACTAGTCTCACGGTTCGGTTACGATTATCATGCCATCGATTAGGATCAATTTGATATTTCGGTGCATCACGGTGCATTGACGGTGCTTTTCATACACAGTTTTATATTTTCTTCACAGCAGCAGTTCTTGTATTAAAATGTATGAATATATTTATATTTATAAACTATTTTTAATACAATTTTGCCATTTAATACAAACAGTCAGAAATATAAACTGTACCTTAAAACAACACGAGCATTTAGCAAATAATATAAAAAATATAAATATCCAGCTCACTTTCTGATCCTTTTCTAGTTCTCTTACACCTCTGTGATTGGTCGCACCCTCAACAAAAACGGTTGCAATTGGCTCTTGCGCGCTGCGCTCCTCACAGATGAGTGATACTGATAAGCGGCAGGCGGCAGTGGCGATCACAGCTGATGCATGATAGACATGGTGGAAAAAACTCTGCAGACACGCGCTCATTTCTGTATCCAGAAGTAACGCTGTAAAACAGCTGAGAGGAGAAGAAAAGTCACGCCAGCAGGTCAAATGGGCCACTGTGTGTGTGTGTGTGTGTGTGTGTGTGAGAGAGAGAGAGAGATAGAGAGAGAGAGAGAGAAAGAAATGGAGTACTTTTATTCTCTCGATCTCAGTGAAATAGGGGCTTTTGCTGTTAATGTCAGTGAAAGACTGATCCAGTAAACACACACAGTGAAATTGTGCACAGTTTATGAGTTTTAAGTAGTTAGAGCGTTGTAAATACTCGCGCTCCTCTCCCTCGCGACAGAGCGCATATAAGGTAAATGACATCAGTAATAACTGGTTATGGTTATTACTGAACCGATACCAAATTGTCTGCTGCTGCATTGCGGTGCACCGAAGAAACGATTAATTTTGACACCCCTAGTATTTATAAGGTATAGTTCACCCAAAAATGTCATTTCTGTCTTCATGTTAGGATTTATTCGCGGCCGCAAAATAACACGTGAGCTGACCGCAAGCTGTTTGTTTACTTCCGAGAATGCGCGTGTGCCCGTCTATGACACCTACTTTAATGAACAGAAGCTGCAAAGGCTGTGAATAACAGGTAATGAATTTGTAAATAACGTTTGGTTTGTTGCACAGAGCGATCGTTTGAGGGCCGTGCAGGAGGTTTGATTTGCATGTATGTGTTGACGGCGGCCATGAGCCGCACTAGGAAGTGAAAATGAAACCTGTGTGCACATTTAAATGATCATATGGCATTTTAGAGTTATGATTAAGACAAGCATTTGATATATTTTTTTCTTTCATAGCGAACAGTATTGTGCATGAAAATAAATGTTTACTAATTAATGTGTCAGAGTATAACAACCCTAGCCTATATATAATGTTAAATATAATGCAAGGAATCTGAAAATGACAAAATTCGAATTTTACCAGTGAAAACAAATGGTATAATAATGTTGTCAATGGCAGATGACAAGCACATGTCTTAAACAAAATAAATCAACTTCAGAATTAAGAACAGTTATATTCTTTCATCTTTTTACTGTGAATTAACAAACAGGACATTAAAAATCTGTTCAAGTCCACCATAATGACTGTACAAAATTTAGCATTTTAAGCAACAGTATACCTATAGGCCTAATTAGGGACCGAGCACCGAAACGGTGCGTAGGCCCTATTGGAATTGCTCCGTTTTTTATTATTATTATTATTATTATTATTATTATTATTATTATTATTATTCCGCCCCCTATCGGGGCACTTTTGAGGGTCTAAACATGCCCGAAAACTCATGAAAATTTGCACACACACCAAACACGGTGTAAATAGCAGGTTGATATGGGTCTCGGAAGTGGGCGTGGCAAAATGACTCGACAGCGCCACCTAGAAAAATTAAACGGACGAGCCCCCGATACACGAATCACGCACATGCACGAAAATTGGCACACACCTCAAACATGCCAAACCATACGAAAAAGTCTCTTGGAGCCATATCTCAAACCCAACAGGAAGTCGGATATTTTTAACTTCCTGCGGCGAAAAAGTTGCGTTTTTGCCATTTCCAGGCGTTGTATTTTAACGAACTCCTCCTAGGGATTTTATCCCATCGACACCAAAATTGGGTTTTGTCATCTAAAGGCCTTGGCGATGTTAAATTGCGAAGCTTTAGAGTTTTCATAGATGGGCGTGTCCGTGGCGGCCTCGCAAACTTTGATGATTCGCCACAAAAGAGGAAGTCGTTATAACTCAGGCATGCATTATCCGATTTGCCTCAAAACTCACACGCTTGATAAGCGTCCTGACCTGAACACGTTTACATGCCGATATCCAGATATAGTTATAGCGCCACCTGCTGGCCACAGGAAATGACATGTTTTACACTGTAACAAACTCCTCCCACAAATTTTATGGTATCAGCACCAAATTTGAGTGGTGTCATCTGAAAGGTCTATCGGTGATATATTGTGAAGATCTAGAGTTTTCGGAGAGGGGCGTGTCCGTGGCGGCATGACAAACCTCAACGCTTCGCCATGGAACAGGAAGTCCTCATAACTCAACCACACAAAGTCCGGTCAGCCTGAAACTTCATATGGTTGATAAAAGTCCTCTCCTGAACACATCCCCATAACAATATTGAAGTGGGCGTGGCAAAATGACTCGACAGCGCCACCTATAAAAATTAAACGGACGAGCCCCTGATCTACGAATCACGCACATGCACGAAAATTGGCACACACTTCAAACACACCAAAACATACGAAAAAGTCTCTTGAAGCCATATCTCAAACACAACAGGAAGTCGGATATTTTTAACTTCCTGCTGCAAATAAGTGGCATTTTTGCCATTTCCAGGCGTTGTATCTTAACGAACTCCTCCTAGGGATTTTATGCTATCGACACCAAAATTGGGTTTTGTCATCTAAAGGCCTTGGCGATGATAAATTGCGAAGCTTTATAGTTTTTTTCGATGGGCGTGTCCATGGCGGCCCCGCAAACTTTGACGATTACCGGAAGTCATTATAACTCAGGCATGCATTATCCGATCTGCCTCAATTCACATGTTTAATAAGAGTCCAGACCAGAACACGTTTACATGCCAATATCCAGATACAGTTATAGCGCCACCTGCTGGCCACAGGAAATGTCATGATTTACAGAGTAATAAACTCCTCCCACAAATTTTTTCATATCAGCACCAAATTTGGTTGGTTGTTATCTGAAAGCTCAAGTGATGATATATTGTCAAGATCTAGAGTTTTCGCAGAGGGGCGTGTCCGTGGCGTCATGACAAACCTCAACACTTCGCCATGGAACAGGAAGTCCTTATAACTCAACCACACAATGTCTGATCTGCCTGAAACTTCACATGGTTGATAAGATTTCTCTATTGAAGGCATCTACATGCCAATCTTGAGTCACAGTTATAGCGCCACCTGCTGATAGGAGGAAGTTTGGCATAAATGTGTGATTTTTCTCAGGTTCTTTATATATATCGCCTTAAATTATTATTGTTCACTGTTTTCTGTCATCCTGAGGCCACCAGGCGGCGGTGAGCCCGGGTGCGAGGTCCCTATCATCGCTGCTTGCAGCTTTAATTATTATTATTCTTTTCCGGAATGAATCGCGATTTTGAGGGCCTTACCATGCCCGAAAACTCACGAAACTTTGCACACACCTCAGAAGTGGCGAAAATTTACGTTTGTTTTTGGTTTTGGAAATGGGCGTGGCAAAATGACTCGACAGCGCCACCTAGAAAAATTAACCGGACAAGCCCCCGATCCACGAATCACGCACATGCAAGAAAATCGGCACACACCTCAAACATGCCAAAACATACGAAAAAGTCTCTTGGAGCCATATCTCAAACCCAACAGGAAGTCGGATATTTTTAACTTCCTGCGGCGAAAAAGTGGCGTTTTTGCCATTTCCAGGCGTTGTATTTTAACGAACTCCTCCTAGGGATTTTATCCGATCGACACCAAAATTGAGTTTTGTCATCTAAAGGCCTTGGCGATGTTAAATTGCGAAGCTTTAGAGTTTTCGTCGATGGGCGTGTCCATGGCGGCCTCGCAAACTTTGACGATTCGCCACAAAACAGGAAGTCGTTATAACTCGGGCATGCATTATCCGATCTGCCTCAAAATTTGCACGTTTGATAAGAGTCCTGACCTGAACACGTTTACATGCCGATATCCAGATACAGTTATAGCGCCACCTACTGGCTACAGGAAATGACATGTATTACACTGTAACAAACTCCTCCTACAAATTTTTTCGTATCAGCACCAAATTTGGGTGGTGTCATCTGAAAGCTCTAGCGATGATATATTGTGAAGATCTAGAGTTTTC